CAGCAGTTAAGAACTCCCTGGTGGTAAGAGCCGCTCAGTGGTGGAATGGGCTACCTTAGGAGGTAGTGGAGGCTTTTCAACGGAGGTTGTCTGGGATTTATTTTGCTGTGATTCTTGCATTGCAGGGGGCTGGGCTAGATGATCCTTGAGGGTGCCTTCCAACTCTACAGTTCTATGATTCTGTGACTTCTCCCCACCACCACTCACACACACACTTTGTATTTTGAGAATATGAATGCTTGCCGCAAGTCGCTTTGGGCACAGCACACTCACCCTGGAAAGGGCCCATACAAATAAACACAATCAATATGCTTATATGCGCCCAGAGGTCAAACTGGCTCTACTGGGGAAGCCGCCTGAGACCTTGCTTCCCCACCCTGCCCTCCATTTCAGAGCTAATTCTGGTTATTGTTAAGTCATCCTGACTACGGTTTGCCTAACTCACCCTTTGCAAACCCGTTTAGGACCGGGGTTGCAAACCAGTTTGCGCTAACTGTGGCTATAGAAAATGCTGGCTCAGATGGAATGCCAGCTATAAATAGTGTTATGAGCTGGGATGCATGCAGGCATCCCTCAAAGTACTGGGTACCAGATTCCCCCCCGCCGCCCAATAATTTCTAGAGTTAGTGAATGTAGGCAATTACTAAATGCCTGAAAGTCTTCACCTGGGTGTGAGACAGCTCAGCAGTGTAAAAATGCAGGCTGAATCAGTTTCCTAGGAAGAAGAACCATAATGTAGTTCAAAGGAAGGGAATGGTTGACTGACACGAGCAGTTACCCTGTGCCAGGCAACAGAGGAGTGTGAGCCCTTCCTCCCATGAGGGGATGGTGAACAGAGACAAAGACCAGGTATAAGATTTTAGTGTAAGCTGGGAGGGGGAAGTTCCAAGTGGACAGTGGGTGGTGAGTTAAACCGAAGGAAAGCTGTGGTGTTTTTAAAGAGAGGTTTGAAAATGGGGGCAGGGAGAGGCTGGGCTGGCTGGGAGAGGCTGCACACAGAGGCCGGGGAGCATGGCTGGCTTCTGCTCTGGACCCAGGCTTGCTGAAGCTATCAGGAGAGCAACAAGAGATGCTCCTGGGGTGTAATATTCTGCAATCCCTCCACCAAAACTCAGGTGTAAGTATGTGTAAATAAACCACAGACTCCACTGTGCCTAGGGTTGCCACCTTGGCTCTGGCAAAATACAGGACGGGGCTGGGCGGTTGGTGGACAATTTCACTTTCACACACACACACACACACACAATCTGGTGCTGAAGTGACTTCAGAGCAATCCATTACAATCTACTGCAGCCTGACAGGATGGCCCCTCTGGAATTTGTCACACATGCATGTGCATGCAGACATACACAAGAGTTTGCAAATCTGTCTGTGCTTGGCTACCCAGAGGTTAAATACATGCCCTTTCACGCACATGCATTTGGAGAGGATCCCTAACTTGGCAGAAACAGAGAGAGAGAGAACGATCTGAAATAGAGGACAAAACTGCTATCAGTACAGGACGTAGCGTTTTACATTGAAATACGGGGCAATCTTGTATTATACAGGGCAGCTGGCAACCCTAAAGGAACACAAACCCCATGAATCTTGGCACATTGCTCGGCAGAGATTGGGGTGGCCGATGACAATCTCATAGCAGCCTGTGTAGTGGAGCCACAGAGCTGCCCTCTCAACACTGGCACTACCAGCTTACCTGGGTGAAGCTGAGGCAGTGAGGCAGGGGCACCAGATTGGCTCTGCCAGGCCCCTGACACTACCCCCAATGTGCCACTGCCCTGCCCCACTCAGGTAAGCTGTGGTGGCATCTGGCGCTGCAAGCTGGCTTCACCCTCCCCCCTTCTACAAACAACAAGCTACAATAGTTATTATAATTATTTATAATATATGTAACCAAAGGGATAGAGATTTAAAATCTCCCAAATGTTTGAAGCCATGGGGTGGGGGGAAGGACTGTTGTTTCCCCACCAGGTGTTTTCGGGGGGGAAACTGGGATTTGGGGGGATTAAAAAATAATACATAATAATAATCAGTACCATTTTCTAGCACTCTCTAAATATCAACAGTCACTAAGTTCACATAAACCGCATTGTGCATAACTTGGTTTACCACAAAAGTATCGTGTCTGGTTTATCAAAAGTGCTGTACAGTTTCTACAGACAATAATTACAAACTGAATTTGTAAGTTTTTGTTGTAAATGGAGCAACAAGCTACTGTACCATAAAGGAACTTCTTTGGCATCTCTTTGGTTTTGCCAGTTTATGAGGAGCCAGCAAAAAACAGTAAAAGCAGAATCTGTCCACATTCTCACATTCTAGTAAAACAAACGATTGAATATTCTGACAATTATTGTCTCCTTCAGTCCTCCACAGTGTCAAGTAGACAATTTATGGTGTTTTAAACTGGGGGCGATTGTTTTGTTTGGTACTATGATATGTATTTTTGTGTTATTATACTGTAAACCGCCCTGTGATTCTCGGATGAAGGGTAGTATGGAAAGTTAACTAATAAGTAAATAAATAAACAGAGCTGAAAAAAAGAGAGGAGAGGGAACAAAATTCTGTGAACTCTACAGGAAATTTATTCAGTCTCTTTCTCTTAGCTATCACTCACTCTCTATTTCAGTTACTTCATATTTGTCACCATCACATTCTCCATGGGCTTCTCAAAACGGAAGGTTTGCCCAGACTGAAACAAGCTTCTATCCTTTCGCATGCCAGCTTATTTATTCCTGCGATTGTATGTTGTTTTCAACTTTTTTATCGTTGTGTTTTAATAGTTGTAACCAGCTCTGGAACATTAGGGTGAAGGGCGAGTAAATTATAGTTTACTTGATTTGTTATATTTCCAAACTTGGACCAGCTTCTTTCAACATGACGCAGAAGATGGAGGAATCTGAAGTAGGTAAGAAGCAAAAGGAGATAGAGGCTGTGTTGTTGTGGAAAGGCTTTGCCCTCATGTTGCAAGAGGGATATGTTTGGCAGAATCCCAGACTGCCTTCCTCAGCCTGAAGATATTCTGCTCTCTGCAGCACTGGAATGTATCTGTCCAATATCAAGCCCAAAGTGTGCTGCTTGTTTTGTTATCGGGTCAGTGCTATCATCACGGACAATCCTTGCCTTTGAATCTTGGGTCCAACAGAATCTGCAGCAGCATGAATTGGATGGCAACATAATTGTGTTGCTCTGTGCCTTTCTGCCACCCTCAGACATTTGAGGCCTAGTCAAGAGGGCAGAAAGAGCTCCACCAACCATGTTTACAAGAGGAAGGCCAAAAGCAGAGAAGGCACTGGGTCCTCCTTCCTCCCCTTGCGACAATGGTCAAGAGGCAGAAATGCATCTTGCATTTGGGAGCTGAATTCTCAGCTACAAGATTGCATGACCTCAGTGCACATGAATTGTAACGAGCTGATACTGTACACAGCCTTACGTGAAAGTCTTCCCGTTAAAACAATTTTAGAAATCATTTTGGGGGACTAAATAAATGAACACCTCATCTTAAAGGTTTTGTTCATCATTCTAAAAGAAAATATTTCATCATCCATTCCCCCTCCCCCCGGTTTTTCAGGAAAAAGCAAACAAAATGCTTTTTGGTGGGGAGGGTGGAGAAAAACATCCCCCCCCCAAAAAAATAATAATTCAGGGCCTTCACATCTCTAGAAAGGGATGGAGAATGCAAGTATTTCTTTATTTATTCTTTAATCACCTGCCACACATTCTCAAAGCAATGTACAAAATAAGTTAAAAACACAGAAAATAACAGCAGGTAAACACTGCAAAGTAGAAACCCGTGGCAGAGACCCTCCCCAACCAGCTGTGAAAGCTTGTTGGAACAAGAACATTTTCAATTGTTTCTGGAAAGTGCAGCTCGTATCTCAGCAGGGATGCTCTTACCCAGAACAGGGGCAGCCACACTAAAAGCCCTGCTCCAAGTCACTGGGGAATGGGCTTCTGATATTCTGGGGATTTGAAGGAGAAGCTCTCCAGCAGAAGGCAATGACTCATTGCGTGTATAAGGGGAAAGGTGGAACTTCCAGTAACCTGGTCCTAAGCTGTATTACTACCAACCCCTTGAACTTGGCCCTCCAGCAGATTGGCAGCAGGGTGTTGTATGCAAGTGATAATTGCCCCCCACACCAGCTGCACCCTCCTCAACAGTAGCCCCAGAGAAAACTGCAGCAATCCAACCTGCATAGGTCAAGCTATTGTCCAGACCCTGAGACTAATGAAAGTTTTTCCAAGAAGAAGCACTTTACTGGGGTTACAGGGAAGCAACTTTATTTGACAGGGAGTGGAAGTTAATGCCTCCCTGGAGACCATAATGCCATGGGATGTCAGTGGTTCCTCACAGGACCCCCCCCCCCGGCGATGCTGCACCTCTGTCAAAGGAGCAATGGACACACTGTACTTCCTTGGCAGGCAGAGGCCGCCTCTCCCTACCTGGGAGGAGGAACCAAGCACTATGATGTTCTCTGGATCCAGACCTGCTGGGCTCCAGCAAAAGGCAGGGTTGGCAGGGGCCGCCATAGAAACTCTCAGCCTGTGCATCTTAATTGTTGGTGTCAGAACTCAGGGCGGGAGGCAGGTGCCTCAGCAAGCCTTACAAAGGAACATAGAAAGCCGCCTTATGCTGAGTTAAACCATGAGGTACCTCTAGCTCAATATCGTCTACACTGGCTGGCAGTAGCTCTCCAGCGTTTCAAGCAGGGTTGGGTCGTGGGTTTGAGCCCCATGTTGGGCAAACAATGCCTGCATTGCAGGGAGTTGGACTAGATGACCCTTGTGGTACCTTACAATTCTATGATTCTAGAGTGACCTTGGATAGCTGAAACATGGCTTCAAATGCAGATCTCTTTATACCCAAGTGCAGGCATAGGCAAACTCGGCCCTCCAGATGTTTTTGGGACTACAATTCCCATCATCCCTGACCACTGGTCCTGTTAGCTAGGGATCATGGGAGTTGTAGTCCCAAAACATCTGGAGGGCAGAGTTTGCCTATGCCTGCCCAAGTGGATAGTGCAGTTGGTTAGAGCATGGTGCTGATAATGCCAAGGTTGTAGGTTCGATCCCCGTATGGGACAGCTGCATATTCCTGCATTGCAGAGGATTGGACTAGAATTCAGCGGTTCTCAACCTGTGGGTCCCCAGATGTTGTTGGACTACAACTCCCATCATCCCTGAGTTCTGGCCTTGGTAGCTAGGGATGATGGGAGTTGTAGTTCAACAAGATCTGGGGACCCACAGGTTGAGAACCGCTGGACTAGATTATCCTCAGGATGATCCTTCCAACTCTATGATTCTCTGCCAGTCCTACTTGAGAGATGCCAGCAGGGATTAAACGTGGGACCTTCCACATGCAAAGGAGATGCTCTACCTCTGAGCTACAGCCCCTCCCCCAGCCAGGCCTCAGGGTAGCTGAGCTGTTCCCTTGCTGGGGTAGCAGGAGGGTCACTGGCCCTGGCCCTGCTCTGGGCTGGCAGGAACAGACAGCAAGGGAGGAGCATGTGATTCCTGCACTGCAGGGGGTTGGACTCAATGAATCTTTGGTCCCCCTTCCAACTCTACAATTCTATGATCAGTGGGTTTTATTGCTAAAGCACTGACATGCTGCCTTTGGGTTTCCCCAAAGGGGAAAGGTGGCTCTCCGGCTATTGCTGGACTACAAGTCCCAGCATCCCTGACCATTGGCCATGTGGTGAGAATGTGGTAGCCCACCTACACCCTGATGATATAGGCAACAACACCAATCAGAACTGAACACAAACAATGGCAGAAATGCAACCGATCCTTCTGAAAGGCAGATCAGCCCCAAACACCCAACATTAGACCACAACGTCAATATATCTGGGTTCTCCTGTCTGAGGCAAATCCTTAACAAAATGCCTGAAAGAGGAGTTTAAAAGATCAGTAGCACAGCTGTGTAATGAGAGGATAGTACACTCTGGGGGCAACCGTGTTGGTGAATTTTATGTTTCCCTCCCTGAGGTTTTGACAGCTGGGATAGATCAGTTGGTAGAGCACTCTTAATGTCAAGGTTGTGGGTTCAAGCCCCACATTGGGCAAAGGAGTCCCACACTGCAGGGGGTTGGACTAGATGACCCTTGTGCCCCCATCTAATTCTATGATTCTATAAATGTGCCCTTCTGCATACCAGGCAGGTGACCTGCCATGGAGCTCCATCCCTCACCTGCTGGATCCAGCACCGGGGCTAGAATACTGAAATGCTTTTCAACGGCTCCTGACACCTGTCTATCATTGTGGAGAATGGGCTGGGCTTGGGAGACCTGGATTCAAAATCTCAGTTGGCCACAAAGGTCACATTGAGCTCTGGGTGAGTGGGGCACAAATGCATTCAAATAAATTTGGAGGAGGGTGGCTGCTACTCTTTCTTTGTGAAACCAGCAACCGCCATTCCTTCCTTCACAACCTTCAAGTTAGACTGCTGCAAAACAAGCATTCACGGGGCTGCCCTTGATGACAACCTGAGCTATCCAGATAGTAGAAGAGCAGGGATGGACAATGTTTTTTCTCTTGAGAGCCACATCCCCTCCAGAACAGTCTGTTGGGGGCCTCTTGGCAGCAGTGGGCAGGGCTGCAGCCCCCCTTTTCTGCCATCCCTCTCCCAGTTCAGCAAACTGCAGGAAGAGGAACAGATCGATCTCGCCAGATGTCTGAACTCATGGCTTACAGGGGATTTTCTGAATTGGGCCCAAGGGCTGCTGCATCATATGGCCCATCCCTGGAGTGGAAGAACATAGTGACACATGCACCCTCAGCAATCCAGGAACAGCTCGCAAATTCCCTGCCCCAGGAAATTCATTTGGCTTCCATTCTGGCAGTGTTTCAAAACCAGCAAAAATAAATACATAGCTCTGAAGGTCTGGCTAACTACCTGATCTGGTGTTTTGCTTTTTTATTATTATTTTTGGCCCTGCTCTTCTTCTTTGGGAACTTTTCATTGGCTGTGTTGTTGTTTGCGTTTTTAAATACATTGTCTGTTTCTAATTATTACTATTATCATTATTAATACCTAATTAAACCCTAAACACCAATCATTAGTATCGATTGCAAAGAGCATCCCCGACAAAATCAGGACCTGCTCCCGTAGGACTGTCCCTCCTTCTCCATTTTAAATGTTATTTATCATTTGCTGTGGTACTTTAAAACTGTAAACCATATTGGGTGGCTTTGCAGGAAGGCAGTATATAAATGCAATGGGGGGAAAATGAATAATATCTTCCTGCAAAGAATCCTGGGAGTTGCTGTTTCCCAGAGTTCCCTGTGAAGAGGGATTGACTGTTAAACCACTCTGGGAATTGGAGCTCTGTGAGGGAAATGAAGGGGGACTCCTAACAATTATCAGCGCTCATAACAAACTACAGTTCCCATGATTCTTTGGGGGAAGAAGCCATTACTATTTAAAGCGGTATCATAGTGTTTTAAAACACCTGGTGGTGGATGTGACCCTGACACCCTGTACATGGAAGTGGCTCTTTTCCCCTCTGTAATCTCTTCATGCCAACCCTACAGCTCTGAACCTGGTTTACTGTCGCTTCCAAGGTCAAAGAGGAAACAAGTACCCCTAGCAAAAGACTATCCAACTCCAGGGGCCTAGAATTTCGAGGATCCTTGTGGGGTGGGGTAGGGACCTGCTGGAGCCCCAGCCCCCTAGCAGGGCTCCCTCAGGACAGCCTCTTGCCCTGGGCCTCCCCTGCAATGCTGGTTGGACAAGTTTGGGCAGCTGCCATTTTAAATTTCGCACAATGCCCTTGAGCGACACTGGGGCATGGAGCAAAACTTTAAATGGTGGCTCCTTGGCCACTTGACGCTGCTGCCCGGGGAAGGCCCACCAGCAGAGGAAGCCCCAAGCCCTCCTGCAGCTGGTGCCCCTGGAAAGCCAGGACACTTAGAGGGGAGCCTCTGCCTTTGTTACACGACAAAAGAGGACCCCATTTATGTGATTTCCGTCATGAGAGATATCCCAGGGCCACTGACGTATTTGGAAAACAAACAAGGAAACAATTGAACATAAAACTAAAGTTAATCCATCTAAAACAATTGCAACCATCTGCTAAGTCACATGTGCCAGGATGGCAGCTCACTACTGAGGCCCCCATCCTTCAGGATCTCACAGATATCCTTCATTTATAGCTCCCTGGCTATGCAGGCTGAGGTTGAGAGTAGCTGGAGCCAGAACAACACCTGACCAAGGGGATTCTCCTCCCCTGTCCTGGAGAGTCACCCAAAGCCACACCTGGTTATTATCCAGAGAAATACTATGTTTCTTTTTTTTAAAAAAAAAATATTTATTAAGATTTGAAAGGTTACAAAAAGAAAAAATAGAAAACAGCATACTAAGCAAAAACAGAACATCACACCACAATAAAAAAGAAAAAAAGGGGAAAAAAAGAAAAAACCCCACAATGAATCTTCCCATAACTTATCTTTCATTTGCTTGTTTCCTTGACCTCCTCACACCTCCCTTTTTTGTATTCTAGTTCAATTAGCTATTTCAGCAAGTCCTTTCCATCTTTTCCAGTTTATGTCCTCTATTTTATCTTAATATAATGTAACTTTACTTTCCCTCCTTTCACCATTTAACAATCTGTTTTTTTTCTTAATCCTTTACAGCATCCCTGCTAAAACTACATTACTTCATTCCAACCTCCTTCTAACATTCCTTAATTTTACAATGTTTCTGTAAGTAAACTTTAAATTTCTTCCAATCTTCTTCCACCAGCTCTTCTCCCTGGTCTCGGATTCTGCCAGTCATTTCCGCCAGTTCCATGTAGTCCATCACCTTCATCTGCCATTCTTCCCGGGTGGACAGAGAAATACTACAGTGGTGCCTCGCAAGACGAAAAGAATCCATTCCGGGAGTCTCTTCGTCTTGCGGTTTTTTCGTCTTGCGAAGCAAGCCCATTAGCGGTTTAGCGGATTAGCGCTATTAGCGGCTTAGCGGATCAGCTGATAAGCGGCTTAGTGGCTTAACGGATCAGCTGTTAAGCGGCTTAGCGGATCAGCTGATAAGCGGCTTAGTGGCTTAACGGATCAGCGGTTAAGCGGCTTAGCGGATCAGCTGATAAGCGGCTTAGCGATCAGCTGTTAAGCGGCTTAGCGGCTTAGCGGATCAGCTGATAAGCAGCTTAGCGACTTGGGAAAAAGGGGGGGGGGAGGAAAAAAAACCCGGCAGGAACTCGCAAGACATTTTCGTCTTGCAAAGCAAGCCCATAGGAAATTCGTTTTGCAAAGCACCTCCAAAATGGAAAACCCTTTCGTCTAGCGGGTTTTCCGTCTTGCGAGGCATTCGTCTTGCGGGGCACCACTGTATGTTTCCGCCAGTAGGGCTGACTTCCTGCATCAAGGGTGCTATCCATAACTCGGCTCAATGTGGATAGTGAGCCCCTTGTGCCTCTTTTAATTTCTCCATGTCTGTGTGGGGTTCCCCTCCAACTGCTGCTGTCCCACACTTTCTCTCCCCTAATTCTGGAGAGTCCCTGTGCCATTGTTTACCAAACTTACAATAATCACGTACCCCTTCTCGGTAAAAGATAATTTGGGGGTAGTTTTAATAATACTGTTTTATCTTTGAATTGTTTTCTGCAGATAAATATAAGTATGGTGAAGTAAAATATTATTTTTTTAATGCTGTGTAGCCTTTGAAACCTACACTTTGGAAAACAGTGCCTATGCAATTGATGTAGCTCTCCAATTTGGATTTTCAGAGCAAAGGCGACCTCCAGCTTTAGGGAGGAAAATATGTGGGGCACCAGTAGCTGGAGCAGACCACTACATGGATGAGGGGAAATTAAAAGGGGCACTAGGGGGGCACCATCCACATTAAGCCAAGATATGGATGGGCATGGCACCTGGTATCCTACTTGTGGCAGAGGCCTTTGACCTTGCACCTTTGACCTGGTAGCACCAAGATGACCAGTGAGGCCGTACACACCATCCCATCTTCAGACTTAGGATTCTGCACTGAGTCTCAGTGGTATGTTTTCTGGCAGCCTCAGTGCAGCCTTGTGTGTTTGTGTGCATGTATGTATGCATGCATGCATGTATGTATGTATGTGGCATCTATCTATCTATCTATCTATACTACTACTACTAATAATAATTTATTATTTATACCCCGCCCATCTGGCTGGTTTTCCCCAGCCACTCTGGGCGGCTTCCAACAAAATATTAAAATACAATAGTCCATCAAACATTAAAAGCTTCCCTAAACAGGGCTACCTTCTGATGTCTTCTAAAAACATCATTGTCCAGAAAGTGGGAGAAGCAACAAGAGGAACAGCCATTTTAGATCTGGTCCTAACCAATGTTGATGACCTGGTTAGTGGGGTAGAAGTGGAAGGATCATTAGGCGCGAGTGATCATGCTCTTCTGAAGTTTACTATACAGCGGAAAGGAGCAGCCAAGCATACTAGGACTCAATTTCTTGACTTTAAGAAAGCGTGCTGGGTGAGATCCCATGGACAGTAATACTAAAAGGAAAGGGAGTTCATGATGGCTGGGAGTTTGTTAAGAGGGAGATACTAAAAGCACAACGTCAGGCAATACCAATGAGACGGAAACATGGAAGGTGCCTAAAGAAGCCAGGGTGGCTATCTAAAGAACTTTTAACTGAGTTAAGATTAAAAAAGGATGTGTACAAAAATGGAAAAGGGGGGAACCACCAAAGAGGAATTCAAACAAATAGCCAGCACGTGTAGACACAAAGTCAGAAAAGCTAAAGCACAGAATGAACTCAGGCTTGCTAGAGAGGTTAAAAGCAACAAAAAGGCTTTTATGGGTATGTTCGTAGCAAAAGGAAGAACAAAGAAACAGTGGGGTCACTCAGAGGAGAAGATGGTGAAATGCAAACAGGGGACACAGAAAGGGCTGAACTCCTCAATGCCTTCTTTGCCTCAGTCTTCTCCGATAAAGAAAACAATGCCCGACCTGAAGAATTTGGAGCAAATGATTCAGCAAAGGAAACACAGCCCAGAATAACTAAGGAGATAGTACAAGAATACTTGGCTAGTTTAGATGTATTCAAGTCTCCAGGGCCAGATGA